GGCACACTGCTGCCTCATGGTCAACTTATCATCCACCAGGACCCCCAGGTCTTTCTCCGCAGAGCTGCTCTCCACAAGCTCGGTCCCCAGCCTGTACTGGTGTCTGGGGTTATTCCTCCCCCGCTGATCACCACTCTCTGGGCCCTGCCATCCAGCCAGTTTCTAATCCAACTCACTGTCCACTCATCTATCCCACACTTCCGGAGCTTGCCCAGGAGGATGTTGTGAGGGACGGTGTCAAAAGCCTTGGTGAAGTCGAGATAGAAGACATCCACCGCTCTCCCCTCGTCTATCCAGCCGGTCATTTCATCATAGAAGGCTATCAGGTTAGTCAGGCAAGATTTCCCCTTGGTGAATCCATGCTGACTACTCTTGAGCACCTTCTTGTCCTCCATGTGCCTGGAGACAACGGCCAGTATGAGCCGTTCCATCACTTTTCCGGGGACAGAGGTGAGGCTCACTGGCCTGTAGTTGCCTGAAAGGCTATGGAGATGGTAGACTGCCTTCCTTTCATAAACTGGAGAAATGCAGAAGTGAAACCTATTGTTATAAAATAAATCACTCAATAGATGAATAGCATTGAAGATATTTTTCTTTATCTCTTCAGAGATAAACTCTTCCCCAGTTTCTTTTGTCACATAGATGTGGATCTCTGTGACTCTGTAGTTGATGTTCTAGTATGGATTTACCAGAAAAGTATGATGTTTTCAATTTTATCTGCTTCTCTCTCCCTTTGGTCGTTGAGCTATTTCTTTATTAGTACTTTGCAGATACAGTATGCTTACTTTTCAGTTCATTCAACCCCACAAGTCTATTGCTTTACTTAAGCAATATTTTTCCCTCCATTTTTTTTTCCCTCCCTCAGTACTGCGCAGCCTAGGTCAGATGGAGTCCAGCGGGAGTGTGCTAGTGGGGAAGTGAGGATAGGAAATGATCACAGGGGGTCCTCTTTCACCCCTCCTGGGAAACCTGCGGGCTCGGTTACTTCCCTGAAATGCCTGTACACCAATGCGCGGAGCATGGGGAATAAGCAGGACGAACTGGAGATCTGTGTGCGGTCCCAGCGACATGATCTCATTGGAATCACAGAGACGTGGTGTGATAACTCGCATGACTGGAGCGCTGCCATGGAAGGCTATGTCCTCCTTAGGAAGGACAGGCTGGGAAGGCGAGGTGGTGGAGTTGCTCTTTATGTGAGAGAGCAACTGGAATGCATGGAGCTCAACCTGGGAGT